GTCTTTTTATGCTGCTGCAACAAAAACATTTCCCAAATTGGGATCAATAAAGTACTATCTTATCTTAACTGTATATTACGTGCTGTGAATACCAATAAAGAAATCCTTTTAATGCATCTGGTTGTTGTTCTCGATAAAAACACTGCTTTATGGCAGTTTCAGTATGTACAATTTATTGGATGTCTAGAACAAAGGCATCAAATAATTAAGTTATTCATTCATTACAATTTTTGTATTCACTACATCGGGTGGACACAGACTTTGCAAAAACCATATCAATAACACAAAATGCATTCTTTAAATATGAAAGGCTCACTAATATAATATTGACCTTTTACTATTTATGTAATTATTTAAGTTAGTATTTTCTTCAAGTAAAAATGCCGAAACAATGTCATATTTCATGGGCTTTTTCACTCATTTCTGACACTTTATAGGCAAAACTATTAATCATTAACGAAAAGTAATATATAATGATAATCATCCTTAGTTTCAGTCTTACTCTTTTAGTATGCAGGGTTTTATCATTATGTGCCTGATGATTAGAGTATACAGTATATCAGTCTTTACTGTGGGTTATTAGCTGCGCGTGCAGAGCTAATGACTCCAGGTCACCACACACACACGAGGAATGTAACTGACAGTGTGACATTAGAGAAAGTGAAGTACAAAAGCACGTGAATGCCACATTTAAACCCAAAAGAGAATAAAGAAGCTTTGCACCTTGTCTCTTAACTAATTTCTTAAAGGCAGGATGTAGACCTAATATGAGTCCAGTGTTGTGTTGTTTACAGTCCTTATTAAAATGCAGATGAACAGGATTAACAGGCCCATCAAAGCCTGGCGTCTTCCACGTAAACTCACCGTCACAAAAGAGGATTTATACTTTAAAGGATGAGAAACGGGCACGGATGAGTTTTGGCAGGAGGACCAGTACAGAGTGATAAAGGCCCTCTGTGAGCAGCGAGCCAGCCTTTCTCCTCCCTGCTGCTGCCTCAGGTTTCTGCTGACTCAGACACTTTTAGGGGGGAAAAGGAGAGCCGGAATAAGGAGGAAAAACATAACAGAGAAAACAGATGTGGTCTCTGGAGAAAGAAGGAGACAAAGAGGAGAAGGCAAGGAGGTGAAGAGCAGGGCTGTAGGAGTCAGACACATAACACACACACACACACACACACACACACACACACACACACAACAACACACACACACACACAGGAGCTTCACTCGAGGGGAAAGAGTTCCTCAAAGCCAAACAAGTCATTCATCACAGCTGGGAGTGGAAGAGAGTACATTTAATTAGAGTGAAGATTAGAGCGTGACAGACTGAGTCCCTGCTCCCGTCCATGAGGTGCGTTTACATTCAGAGTTAGCTTCAGATGTTGACACACATGTACACTATCTGTGGTATGATCTATATTGTAAGAAAATACTGTTTGTTGAAGTGCGCAACCGTTGAGCATTGTTTATGAGTGATCTCAGAAATGAAACCGAAGGCACCTGATGGCCAAGGGCGGTGTCTGCTTATGGGAAGTTATAAATGGAGATGTAAATACTTTTTCCAAATGAGGGAAGCATCACAAACATACCAGACATACCAGTCTTACGCGACTGGATTTCCTGTAACCACCTGATGTGTGGGAAAACGAAACGTCTGTAGTTTCACTCTTTTTTTCAAGCGTTTCTAGAAAAGGAAACGAGTGGCGCTGACAAGACGTCATAGGCTTCATCAAGAGCAGTTTGAGTCAGAAATAGGAAGGAAGCAATGCCAGCAGCGACCAACCACACAGCAGCAATTGGTTTCACAGAAACTACAAGCTGATGCCGCGCAGCTCTGTTCTCAAACGCATGGAGGAGGTGGAGACAGAAAACAGCAGCGTCACCCTCCAGAAGTGCTGTCATGGCTGCAGCAGATAAGCAGGTTGTGTCAGGACAGGAGACCCTGGAGCAGCGCTGGCTCCCACCCAGACGGCTCACTCTGATAGCAGGACACAAATAAAATTCAGGGTGCCTCATAAATGCCATTCAGTTCCATGAAGGACACCTAGAACACATGATGCCGCTGAGCAGCAGCCAGTGAGCCTGGTGTCCACGGGTAATGGACATGTTTGGACATATGAAAGCAAGAGCTGGGAGATCATTTATTAAAACGATTTATCCTCTTTCAATGAATCGAGATATCAAAGTATCTAGATAAAGTGATACTCAATTAATTTGTCTGAATTGATAACAAGGTCATACTGACTCAGACATTTTATATTTCGAGGGAATATTTATTGGAGATTACTTTAATTTAAAGTTCAGTTGAATTTTATTCAAAAACTGGACACAATTTAAATGAAATTGCATCTTAATTTCCTTATTTCTGTTCCTGCATGTAGACATAGTCAATTTTTAGCTAGATTTTATAATAATTTGACTTGAAACTTTACATTTTACACTACACTTGATGAAATGAGATGATACTCATTTATCAAGTAGTTAATTCACACAACGTCTACAAAAAGGGGCTTCACTATGTGGCTTTTTACTGAAGACTATTTATTGAATGACCAGAAAACATGCTATATTCCAATATATGTATCGTTCTTGAGATATATAAAGAACCTCATGCTAACATGATAGAAGATTTACGCCCTTTTGAAACCCAATGACATTGGCCTAGGGGTAGGAATCAAACCTTTGAATAAACGTAATATCTGTCAGACGTTTTGCCCATCACGTGATTGAACAGTAGAGGGATGGCTCTATGCTGCACCGACGTGAACCCAAAACAACGACACATGACCAAACAAAGGCTGTGAGTCAGGGCTCAAACTGCAGCTCCTCCCTGAAGTGGCGTCTGAGGGCGTGAGGGAGGTCGAGCTTCAGAAAGCGATACTGGCACTGCTGGAGATTAAACAGGTCTGAAGCTCTGGTGCTGCCCTGATCAAACAATCATCAAACTGGTCCAACAGGACGACTGAAGACTTTTGGTTCTCTAATGAATCAGAAACAGAGAAGGAAATCAACTAAGGACACTGGACGTGTGTGTTTAGTTTCTTTGAAAGCATACCATTAGGCCTGTAACTGATAACATTTCGCTTAGAAATCTACTCATGATAAACAATTGATTGTTTGAAGTTTCTAAAATGTAAGAAAATGTTGAAAAGAGCCTATTGTACTTATTGAGAGAACACTATAGGTCTTATAATGACTTGTTTTTTGTGGCCAATAGTCCAAGACCTAAAGATAATCAATCCATGTGTTAACAAAACTGAGAACATCTGTAAAATTCACTTTTCTGTAAAAAAGTAAAAGTCACTTTTTTTTCCATGATAAAAAACTTAAACGAAAACTGCTAACTGTCAACTCTCTTTTGATTGTGTATATATAGGTGTATACATATTTTTATCCATATTTTTATATATATTTGTTTTTGTATTCGGGATTGTGGGAAACGGTATTTCGATCTCTCTGTCTGTACACACAAACTGAAAGATTGACAATAAAGTTGACTTTGACTTTTGACTGATTCAAATCTCAACACTAGTTCAGGTAAACGGTATCACACCCATGCGCTGCTGATGATCGTGCCAAAGCCTGAAGTCACATTTCCGACCGTTAACACCTGGCATTTGGGGGTAATGGCAGTGTAATTTGAGGATGCATCAGAATGAATTACGTTGCAAAACGCTCACACGGGTACCTCGGCACGACAGGGCCTGTTATTACAGTAAGTAGGTGGAAATGTTTCTGTACAAACAGTCATGGACGAATGAAAGATGAGGGCAGGAAGGTACTTTCAAACACAAAGAAGACATGCTTCATTTGTCACCAAGGACAGTGCAGTGTGACGGAGTATTTCTTCTTAGTTTCCTATTTTGAAGCCCTTACAAAAAGGCCGAAACACAAGGGAAGTAAATCACATGTTTTACCATCATAGTCACAATGCTTCACTGAATTCATAATACATGTAGAAATGTATGGCCGTTTAGTGACGACAAGGGAAGTGAATAAACTGATTGAGGAACACTTTACTGCCAGTTTGGCTGGACGTCACGCCATGGTAACCAACAACGCCCGTCATCGGACATGAGGTAACTGTTGTGTGTCAACGCCTGCAGTACGCTCAGCCGGGGCTTCTCTTAATCTCAGGTCAGGGAGGAATATGTCTGAACAAGTTTCTCTGCACTACACACATATATGACTCACTCCCAGAAATGTGACTGGCAAACCCCAATCCCTCAACGTCACGAACATGCAGCCGAACACACCCATCCCTGCCTCTGCTCACATGCTGTTAGTCACATCAGCTGTTGTCTAATTCTGCTCTGGCTGGCAGTTTTCAGAGGTTCATTTTTGGCCTCAATTAAAAAACAAAAACCTACACGTAACAAAAATAAATGTTGCCTGTTCCCCCAACCATTCCCCCCTAAAGCAACTCGGCTTTGTAGCATCAAAGAGGAGTCTTGCTTCCTGACTAGAAACCCCATTGGATCTATAGAGGTGCTTCCTCTTAGTGAAAACAAACGTCTGTGACTTTAATGAGCAAAGAAGAGCGGGATCACTGTGTGTGTGTGTGTGAGTGTGTGTGTGTGTGTGTGTGTGTGTGTGTGTGTGTGTGTGTGTGTGTGTGTGTGTTTCTCAGTTTGGAGAAATGACAGACGAGAGCCAGTTTCACAGCGTCAGCCTGGGAAGGATTATCACATTACTGACAGGATTCCCCTTTCCATAAAAGGTAACGAGTCTCATCCGTGAAATGGAGACAGATCTAATCAACATGAAGTCGCTCTTTGAAATCAGATTATAATCCTTATTCAGACACGAGGAATACATTGATTCAAATCTCTCTGAAGACGACCTCTGATATTATCTGGTGTTTTTTAAATGAGAGGCGGCATCGTGGTGTCTACCTGCAGCCTGCATATCTTCACTTAGTATGTGAGGAACTTAAAAAAGGTGTTTGGCAAAGACGCACATCATACAAATAGGCCACAGAGCCTCCGATGTCACATTACCTGTGTTTCTCCAACTCGTTGTGCGATGATCTGAAAGGACAAAAGACAAGTAGGCGTGTCAGGGCAGTGTCGTGCTGTCAAAATACTACACACACTTCAAATCAAATGACATGATAGGAAGCTGTGTGGAGAAAGATCCAAAGGAGTGAGGCTTAGTTAGCAAATATGTTGAAGGTTAAAAGTCTTGATTGGAGATTAACTTTTAAGTCTAAGAGTTTAAATGAAAGACATAAAAGCAAGAAGTTTGGAAGAGAATGAACATCTGAGAAACGTTTATTCAGAGGAAAAATGCGGTGTCATTTCCTTTCTGTGTCTGTCTATCTTTCTGCGTCAAGGCTTTTAAATGCTTGCGTTGCTTTACTAGTTTGACCTTAAACACAAACTATTAACAAAGTCCAAAACAAGTCCTGATCACTCTGAAGACAAACATAAAACTTGTGTGCTAGTTTTTTTAATATTTTGCATGTCTTTGTGACATCTGTCAGACAGTGTGCTGCAGTGGGCAAAAAATGAAAGCGAGAGGGAGAGAGAGAGATCCCTCCCCTCCCGCTCTCACACATACAAACAGCATGCACACACTGCTGTTGTTGCTGCACGCTGGCTGGAAAGCAGCGTGGACAGGGGATAAAAACACACTCAGACGTCTGGAGGCCGAGCGGCTGCAGAATTCCTCAGCGTGTGGGCTATTCTGAGCGGGGAGAGCCCCTGTCGAGATCTGCAGCGAGGGCACTGCAGTCCATCTGAAAACAGGCCCTCTGTTCATGAGGCCGTCATGGATACCACGGCAATAAAAACAAAAACAGCAACAACAAAGGGCCAGACTGACAACAAGCCTTTTCAGATTCTTTCCGCTGTTTGAGAGCCCTTGTGCTCGTGAAGCAGTGGTTCCCACAGCTGCACCAAAAAGGGTTACCGTGCAACTGTGATAATGTGGCGTCTGCACAAAAGGATCCCAGAAGTAACACAGGATGTTGCACTGCTGCTAATAACCTGATTCCAAAAGGCCAACACATAGCTTCATGCCATCATGGAGGAAGTTGTGCCATTCAAATCTGCACAGATTGGGGAATTGCCCAGTCAAAACGCAAAGCGTGACCAGGAAGTCATCAGACCTGTAATATTACAGCAGGTTAAAATAACTTCACATATTATGTAAAATAATGCTGCCATGGAAATGACTCTGATGTCATTACATGGCCCCGATGATCAAAGGCCTACACATAAGCCTCATATCAATGTTTTGTTTATGGGATGCACAACTGCCAGAGCAGAGCACCGTGTGTAGGTTTTTCCCATGGTCACTCTATTTTTATTTTAAATTTCGAATCTGTGACAGAGAGGTGAAGCAGGAAATCTTTCAACAATACAATTCCATGTCTTTCCCCTTTCTTTTAGAAGCGTTTTGATTTAATAACAGTGTGCATGTGAAGAAAGGAAACTCCAACAGGGTTTTTCTCTCTGCAGAAATAGACTCCCGGCTGTTGTTTTTCTTCCACATGCCCTGAATATTGCTCTCTTGCAAAACATGTAATCTGTTTGATTTGCAGATTTGGTCATGAAAACCAAACTGTATAAAACAGTGCTCGGTACAAAGCAATGTATTTTGCTTTTTGAACCAACAGCTTTTTTTCCCCGAAAAAATAGGGTTTAAGATCTAACATGTTTTTACTTCATACACCCTGCATCCTGTTGACGCTTAAAAAAAACTGTTGGAGAGTATAAAGGGAATATGGGAATTTGGCCACAGTGCAGTCACAAGAAGGAAGAGGAAAAGCATGTCTTGTGCATGGAGCCTGGGGGCTGGTGTTTGTGTGGAGGTGTCTGTTGGAGGCACCACACCCTCAAACACACACACACGCACACAATTGTGTTGCTCTGTCAGACTGTCAAAGGAATGTGGAAGAGGCTGCATTCTCATTGAACCTGAACCTGATTTGTGACATCGAAATGTGTTTTTATTTCATTTACAAATCCATATAAAAGAGTGTAAATACTATAGTAACGCAATAGTTCAACATGCTGTATGTGCAGTGATGTAACTCTTACTACTGAGGAAACCGGCCTCACGGTGCTTCCCTAAACTAATATTAGCCAACAGGAAAGTTTGGTTTTTTTCATCAGAAACTCTTGTGTTCTTGGGAATTCAATTGGACACATCATGCACATTTTTCTGGAGAGTGTAACCTAAAAACACCTTTCCTGTAAATGGCAGGTGGTTACCAGATGAAAGGGTCCACTGTTGTCCACACCTGGCCAAATAACCCCACAACATTTTGCATGCAACCTTGGGTGTCCCCAAATTAGGGTCATAAATCAAGAGAAAAGGAGTTAGTGAGGGCGTGTCCCACGTCGATACAGCCAATTTAAACACTATTCCAGACAAACATAAGGTTCACTGGTTTGTTCTCCATGTGGGCCATCTCACTATTCTCTGCTAGGCAAAACTATGAAATATTAAACAAGAACAAATTATAAAAATAATATTGATTACCAGCTCTGTTAGTGATTTTCCTACTAAACATGCATTTACATTGTTAGAGATAAGAATTAAATGTAAACCTAGTAAGAATAAAAAAGACTGCTCTGCTTTCTTTGAATAGTTGTCTATGGTATTGGGTAGGAATATAAGGTTTTAAAAATATAATAAGAGTGCATCAGATGATTTCAGACTGCCCACAAAATCCATGGACTTCCATTTCTAGTAAGTTATTGCCTTTTGATATGATTTTAATTAATTACCAACGCCCAGTTTCTTGACCCAGTGCAGCACTCCCTATTTCTTTCTTAATTATTATTACATATTAACATGCTTAGTTTTACATTCCATTTAGCCAGCTGTTCTACTGGTCTAAAAACAGCCTCAGATCAGGATAGGACCTAAACTGAAACTTTAATCTGTTCACTTGTGCAATGTTATTCTGTGTGATTAGTATGGCCTTGCAGCAGAGTTGTTATTGGTTGCAAACTGTCACGAGATGCAAATGGGGTCAAACGAGGGATGAACGCGTGTTAATTACAGTTTGGTGAGGAGATAATGAAAAGCAATCGATAATCTGTTCAGGAACCTCGATCTACTCATGCCCTGTGTGTGGGGGAGAAAGTCGAACTACATGGGATGGGACCTTTACAGTCTATGGATGGGACCCATTGCTGGTAAACCACTTAACATCACACACAGACACACACACACACACACACACACACACACACACACACACATACAAAACACACTAAACCACATGAAGAACGAAGAGGCACAGGTGGAAGAATGTGTGAGACAGAAAGGGTGCAGAAACGAAAGGTTGAGTGCATGTTTCTCTGAGCATGGGGAGTGTTTTAAGTGTGTGTGTAGACAGTGTGTGTGAAACACGGAGAGTTGGAGCATCAGAGTTGACAGTGTACGCGTGGCAGTGTTTATGGGAGAGACCAAAACAGAGACCCAGCCCAGTCACAGCAGCGGAGAGAGAGATGGCAGTGTGCATGAAAACAGATCCCTGTGTGTTTGTGCATGTTTCTATAAGCTTGCATTTACACACAAACAAAAAAAAAGACTTGTATTTACCTATTGTTCTGAGTTTTTCGGGAAATTGGCGATGCTTTCGTTTTCTTACTGGAAAAGTCGTCCATGTACGGTAAAACAGACGCATAACCATGTTCTGCCTCTATAGACAAAACAAAACAAAATGTTAATTTATTCTGGTGTTTGCTGCAAGAATTAAAAAAATGTAAGCTGTCCATCAGTCACTCGGGGAAATGGTGAAACATGAGATAGCTTTATAGAGGCTAAGTCATTTCAAGAGGAACAAAACGTGATCGATCATCAGAGTAATCGCTTGCAATATATCAATATAGCACTGTATAGCCTTCAGCAAGGTCTAATAGTGTAATACAATCAGTGTTACATTTGCATTGGTGAGTATCTGTCATTATGATACTGCCTCATATTGTCAATGTCACTCTTGTTTACTCATTTCCGAAGAGCTAATACGAATACACACTGCAGTTATGAGCATACACAACACATTACTGTATTGGAAAGATTGAAAGCTCAGTTTATAAACACGTGACATACTTTAAATAATAAAGTAGAGCTATTATTTTCTTGGAATACAGGCTGCTAGGTCCACTTTGCACCCATCGCCCCATTGTCTGTAAAGTGACATCATACCTGCACTAAGGCAGGGCTCGGTAAAACTTTACATAAGATACAAGATTAAGCTAGCTGCTGTCCTAGCAATGCACCATTCATTAGTATTCAGTAGAAATGCTGTCAACTTGTCAGTTTGGCTGGAAATACCTCTGTCTCTTCTTTCCAAGTACTCTGCAGCCTCCAGCAGAATAAGAAGAGAATTAAGTTCCATCTCGTCGTTGTCTCGATATAAAAAAATAGAAAATATCTATTTACACAAACTTACAAGTCATGGGATTATGTAATGGAAATTTTAAAAACTGTTTCAGAGCGATGAACGTGTGCTGCTATATTCAGTTCTGAGTCTTGGTGACTCCAAACTACAGTATCAACAGCACCTAACTAAAACTCAGGGAAGTGAGTGATGGCACGTCTGCCCAATGCGAAACGCCTGTGGGCGGGTTTTCCGAGTATGTCTCAGCCTATGGACGGGCTGAAAACACGGTGTGGTGTGAATTGATTGGCTTGCCTGCAAAAGGCATACCCTAGCAACAGCCTGAGCTGCCCCGCCCACCACTCAGCCGATTGGTGTGAAACAAGCGACCTCTAATTGGCTGGGAAGAATTATGGGCGTGTGTCAACATAGTTCAACTTGGGCTGTTGTTTGGGTAGAAAATATTTGATAACTTCTCAAAAGTATGGTCTTAAATGTGGACCGTGAAGTAAACTACAACGCGACATTCAGTAAACAAAGCTGTGTTGCAGTCTGTATTTCCCACAAGAGTGTGTGACATTGCAGAAATACCCACAGCGTGTGTGTGTTCGTTCATTTCCTGTCCATGTCATTATGACATATATTATGACATATTCTAAAATAAAAATGACAAACATATTCTAGTTACAGATTCTGAATACATATTGTTGGTATGACAATACCATTTTAATAACTCAACAAATTGTAATGGACTTTGTTCAATTTTTTAAACCAAACCAAACAAAAGATTAATAATATTTAGCAGGATGCCATCCATTTTGAGCTGACCTAAGGAAAGTCTTTACATCTGAATTTGATTATCTGTTGTCTGTCTGCCTGTTTGCATTGCCAGATAAGATATTTCCTTTAAGCTGATTCAGTATCCATTGTCAGGGAAATGACAACAGATAACTCATGACAAAATATGTAACGTTTAATTTAGTCTAATCAAGCCTGATGTAACCAGAATCATGACTGACTACTTTTGGCTCCAGATCAAGTACTAGTGCCTCATTTCAGAGGCTAAACTCCAAACAGAACAACGCTTTAAGTTGCTTAGTTTTCACACAAAATCCTCAGTTGTGTGATATCCTTGCAGCTGAAATGTAGGCATGAGCAAAGTGTCACTTTGCAAGAGCAATAGAAGAGTTATGCATATCTCAGCAGGAATTCCTGCAGAGTACAAAGTGGGTTTCTCTGCATGGCAGGCAGTTTATATTGCTTGCAGCCAGATGTTTGTGCCTCAGATCGAGTACACACTGAAGAAATCGCAGAGGCTTTATGATGAGGGAAGAAATCTTTTAGTGTGAATGATGAGGAAAAGGCCCGTGAGGATCAGAACCACAAACTTTGTTTTTGTTGAAGTTTCTTGGAAACAACAAGTGTCATGAAAGATCCTCATGGGGCATGTAACGCAGAGAGTAAATCATGGATTTCAAGATATCTGACGACACAAATTGCTGGTTAAATGTGTTGGTGTCAGCTTCTGCATGTGAACAAATGTGCAAACAATCCTAGATTGTGTTAAGCTGTGTAAGATTTCCACTAAAAACCACACAAATAGAAATATATTGGTGGTGTTAAAAATGTACCTTGTGATAAGACAGAGTGCTGTACACTTCAGAGGAGTTACTAATATTTTGTATACCATCATTGATACAATTTGGTTGGATAAAATATAAAAAAAAGCTCTCTCACTATTAACACCACCACAATAATTTACACCTTTAACTACATTCTCCAACATAACCATAAAGTTGAAATAAATATCTCTCTAGTCTAAAACTGAACATTATGTCATGACAGTATGAATAATTGTAGGGCTGTATTATACTGCATTCGTTTTACCTAGGCATAATAATTTACTGGCAAGTTGGTGTACATGTTAAAATGTTAAATGATTTTGCAAGGCATTCAAATCGCAGGGTGGATGTGGATGATTTACAGAAAGTATTATTATATGTAGAACAGCCAGCTAAAACCATGCAGAAACCACATTCAGTTGCAAATGAAAACGTACAAATATATTTATTCAGGCTGCATCAAGAACTTTTATTTCCTGTCTGGCCTGCCTTAGTTTTGCTTGACATCATTTCAGTGTCATCTGAATGGAGTGGTAACACCTGTTTGTTTTTTATTTCACAAATGCATTGTCACCCTCATGCAGAAGATGATCATGTGGAAGGCTTCTACTGTATGTTGTGTTAGCTATCTTTGTTCTCTTTAAAACCATCTTATGATGCAAGGCTGCCTTCAGTGATATGATTTATGATCTCTCCTCCCATTTAATTTGAATGTGCTATACACAGATCATAACAGGGGAGATATATATTGCTCTTTTGTGTTTGTGTCACCTTTGAGGCTTCATGAAATAACGTTTTATTGTGAGGAGGTTTGATAGCTTGCTTCACAGAAACAAGAGACCAGATCCGCCATTTTAAATACTTTTTTAAAAAAAAGCCACTGTACAGTCATAGTGAAAATGTTCACATGCAGTGCAGCTAAGCTATTGCTCGCTCTGTTCAAGCCTGATACAGTGTTTGGGCTACACCTCGTGTCTATGTCTGGGTTAATTCAAGAGACGTTATGCAACTTGTACACTTCTTATCATATGCTCACATATGCAGTGACGTCGATTCTCTCTGCCACTGAACTTTGTTCATCTGAAGCCGATTTCAGATTGCAGGGAGTCCACAGGTTTATCGAGTCACATGGGGGGTTTGTCTCTTCAGGTTTTTGATGTGTGAGCATTTGTTTGACCTTACTTGAGGTCAATGCAATCGAGCAAATGCGCATGAGAAACTTGACCTTGAACCTTTTATGTAAGCAAGCATTCATCATTCTGTGAATGTGATTATTTCTGAGCTGTTGGCATTCATTCAGCCTGTATAGTTTTAGAAGTCCTGTTTCCTCTCTTTCTCAACTGAACATTTAGAAAGATGTGGCTTCTGTAATTATTCAGTGACTGACATGGTTGGACATTCTCAGTTACAGCAATAAAACAAACCAAGAACCTTTATAGAAAGGTGTTAAGTATTGTATTCTGATCAAACAGAGACAAAGGAGGAACTCAGACCTTGTGTTCATTCAGAATACAAAAGACTTGCAAAATAACATCTGCTTTAGTCACACAAATGTATGTTTTGAATTTCAGCCTGAATCTCATTTACAAGATATCTTAAAATGAAAACTGTCATGTCAACGTGTCCAAGTATCTGTCATCATCTTTTGCAAATGCATGAGCATTTTCACAGCCATAAAGAAGCCTGGTCATTGACTAAAAGGTCATATCAGCTGGCTAGTATGTGTTCATGGTTGTGGAATCCATATAGTGTTTGCAACATATATGAATACTTGTTTTTATATTAATGAATTTAATACTGTCCAAATAACAAAGGAATGGAGTACAGTGTTATCCATCTAACCTTTAATGTTTACTTTAAATATAATATGATCAGAATAGTCATCATGCTTGCGTGTTTTAGGTCATTGAGCCAAAAGGGGAACACATAAACTGAGAACAGGTCATGTTCTAAAGCGCTCATTACAGTAGGGACATCCAACCATCATTTTGCATCATATGAAAGGAAATAGCCTTTGTCCCTCCCGCTGCATATTTCTATTTATAGACTTATCATCTGCATGCTCTCTGATCATAGTGGCTCAGGCCTTGCTTGCTGACGCCCCGGGCCAGTAAGCCAAACGACTACACTCTCCACTCTTTCCTTGTTTTCTTCCATCCATCGCTTCATCTGAGCCAAAAATCTCTATCCTGTCCATCCAACCGGTAACCAGCTGGCCTCAACAACAACATTTATGCTCAAAAAGGCCAGATCTGTGCGGTAAATGAGAGCAACATGAGGCTTTTTGGTATCTACCAAGTAAAGCTTTTGATCATGATTTTCTTTTTAATATTTAGGGTTTTTGTTTCTAGTGTGGTTCTGCACCACAGTTTTTGGTAAGCATACTTCCCCAAATTCCACTATCATATATTCCTATTTGTTTAATTTTGATCAAAAATACATTTGTTATATTTAGAAACTGCCAGCTTTGCTGACTATGGATAGAATAATTTCAGAAACAACTGAAACTACAGGCTTCTTCATTGGGGTCTTTTTTAGCTGCTCTCATTTCCCTTTTCCCTTGTTTCCTTGAACATTATTGGCCTACATGTTTGAAGTCGCATTTAATAAACACCACACTGTGACCTGTGCTGCAGCTCTGCAGAAGCCTTCAACATGAAATCAATGAAAACAGACATTATTTATCAATACTCTTTATTTTTCTAATAATTAAATATAACAACATGTGTATTCTTCAAGGTGCAATCCAGCCCAATGCAATAATCCTTGATCATAGAGGGAATCAATTTAATGAAATGAAAGTGTTTTAATTTAAGTATAACAAATCCTCCTTCCTCTTCTAGTAATGAGTGAGCGACAACATATCAACAACATGTGTTTTCTGCTTCCTGAGCCACAGTATCAAAGTGATAATCCCCCAATCAAAGTTATGTTCCCAGGAAATAACCCAAATGCTTTCAGTATGTGAGTGGGGGGCGGCTCCATTTTCTACACAAGGCTGCTGTCAGTCTCATTTACAGTCATGCTTAAGGCTCGTAAAACCTTCAACAGTGAATAGTGGAGAGATTTAATCCTAAAAGACAACAGTAAATAGTGTGGGGCCCGTCCAGTTTGTGACATATTTATTCTCCCACTCCTCTTTAACCAGGATGGCCTCATATTGTGCTACATCCTGGTTTAGGTCCATGGTTCAGAAGGAAGAGGATAAAGGGATTCCAGTGTTGGGGAGTTGTTTATCTTGTTCACATTGTTTACCGGCTACCTTCTCTCCATTTTCAAACGCCCTTCACTCCATTTTTTATGCCAAATGTCAGAAACTGTAGTCTTTTTTCCATGATCCTGTTTCCGTAATCAAGATTAATCTGTTGCTACAGGACAAAAGTCAACGGACTCTCTCAACACGCTCCGGATCAGATTATTGCTAAAGGGTTAAAAGTATTTTAGATCTTTTAGATGTAGAAATAGATGCTACAAACCCGAGCTGATAGAGTTAAAGCCTATTAGAAGGCTCAGATCAGGAACCAGTGTCCATGGCCACACTGACTGA